ACGGCCATAAAAATTATTTATATTAATGATGTCTCCAAAGTTCAATGAAGTTTTCGCAGAAAAATAACTTATCAGAAATCGCGGCCGCCGTTTGGTGCGCTGCTCCGCGACGAAAACAAGCTTAAGCAATGGCGACGTCGAACGGTGCACATTCGGTACGTAATCTTACAATTTTTTGTTTATAGCATAGTTTATACGGATTATTCCCAAAAAAATATACGTGTTTTGGAAATGTTGAGTCCAATTAGTCTAGGAATCGATTACTTTTATAGAAGAAAACCTTTCAAACAGCCGTAGTCTGTAAAGTGCATACGTGCCGGGCTGTGATTGGCAAGGACTCGTACAAAATGGATTCATAAAGAACGGAACGTATTTACCGTGTTATAGGGGGTCGACTGTATAAGAGTTAAGATTAAACATACTATTTTAAAACTTCACTTTATATATTTTAAATCGATATTATTAAATTATGTTTTTAATTGTTTTAATGGAAGTTACAAACATTAACATTGATAATAAACTGATCGGAGTATATAACTTAAAATACGTAAATTATTTTGTAATAAAGAATATTTTAATGATTATAAAAGTACAGCAAGTTATGTATGTTATAATTATGAGTTTTGTAATGTTTATGGAGAAGTATTACTACGTGATAAATTTTCTTAAAAATCTCATTTTCTTCATTTAACTGTTGCAGAAATTTAATTCTTTATCTCTATTACTAGCTTATCCGTTGCGCATTGCTGCGATCTCACAAGAAAGGAAATTCAAGCAAACTCGTTATGATAAAATTCAATTTACATTTTATCATTTTTATTGAAATTTATTATTATTATTATTATTATTCATTTTCATCGTGAAAACATTTCAAAGTGTCGTTTCAATTCTATTTATTTATTGGAGTGCTTGTGGATACACGATATTTTTTGTTTTTACGTCTGGTGCGTACAGGAATAAATAAGAAGGTTTTCGGACGCATGAGCTGGCCACATACAGTTGTCCATGCGATTCTGCACGGATTCTCTAAATTTAATCCACACACTTGCAGCGATTGTCAGAAGTGCGATATTCCCATTTTTATATATATGTTTTAATCCTTTACAATTTTAATTATTTAATTGCTCCTTCCTCTCTTCCTTGGCATGTTGTGAAATTTCTGATAGTTGGATAATAAACCGTTTTATTGTAATTTATCTTTTTAAATTATTTTGAGTTGATATTAAAATTTGGAAAAGGGGATCCCTACATCGGTAAAATAGGCGAATTTTCTTCTACAACTTCAGTTGTTGTTCGGGATACAGTTAAGGTTTTAACAAAGTTCGAGCGAATACATAATTAGCAAAAAAAGTTGAAATAAAGTGATTAAACAAAAATTATTACAAATATCGTAAATAACAGTTCACAAATGCATATATAGAGATATTTTTTGGAGGGGGGAAATGGTCTTCACAATTTGAAATTCATCGATCTCACGATGAAATGCTCGTATACACTCTATCGTAAAATCGCGCCATCTATCGTAGGATCTATGCCAGAAACGGAGTGTATTAAAAAACTTCCCAAAGCTTCATGGCAACGTACTATGCCAGAAACCTTTGCGGGAGTATATTAAACAACTTCCCAAAGTTTCACGGCAATCGGATAAACGGTGTGGTAATGCATGAAGGACACACA